CTCCCCCTCCATATCTATTTCTCTAACCCTAAAATGTAGAATGTAACTTCCCAATCCATTTTGACTTTGAAAATGAAAATTTATATTTTTCCATAAAGAATTAAATATTGAAACACTACACTGTATTACAAAGAGACTGTAGTCAGAAAAAAAGATGTGTATACAAGTTCATAAGAAAACTGAAGTATCAAATTAGGAATTTTCTCCTACAAAGAAAGTTAGCCCAAACAAAATCATGAGCAAATACATTTTTCCATTCTAGATCTGGTGTTTTTGCATTGAGAGTAATTTAAGATGAAGGTTACTTCCATACTTCATGTAATTTAGTCTGACATTACTAAATAATGTAATCAGAATTGTGCTGGAAGGTGTACATGTATTATATCAAAGTACCCCATGCATGGAAGTCTAGAAAATCCATTTCATGACACCACTACATGACCAAAAAGTGTCACTACTAAATTACATATACATTTACATGCACAAAACATCTTTCAAAAAACTGAAGGCACACTTCCTAATTAGCTCCAACTAAACATACATCATCTCTTCTCTTGCATGAATGAGTGTATAAAAAAGATGAGAATTCAGTCTGCTGGACATAATTAATAAGCTGCTATGGTTTTTTTTTCCTATTAAAACAGGCATTTCAGTGCAATTGCATAATTTATAAAGGCATATAATACTTACGAGGATTTTCTATCTTCACTGTTGAATCTGGGTCAGGATGCTGTTTATGTATAACTTGAGTGCAAATCTGCTCCGTAAGAATCTATCAGGACAATAAAAAATTATTTTTTTTTAAAAAGCTTAGCAGATAATTTGATAGGAAGTTAGACTGCCTCCTTCCTATCGGACCCATGAAAAATTCAGCTTAGCATTAATATTATACAAGCTTTTTTGTTCTACTTGCTCATAATTTACTTTTAAAAACTCTTACTATGATCATTAATTTGTGCATTCTCTCACAAAATAGTATTTCAATTTATTGGAGAGCCTCAAATTTTACCACAACAACAATTCTAAGTTACGTTTTATGCTGAAGTAACATTCAAAATACATGAAAAAAAATCTGCTTGAACAATCAACTCGCCAATTATTGAAAATGTTTCACAATGCAGTATATTTTCAAGTGAAGCAAAACTTCCGAAGTAATCCTCAAAAACCTTAATTGTAACACTAGCTAGGTTTCTAGTGTCATCTGGAACATATCAACACAAACATGCAAGCAATTTTATAACAATGCCTTCCAAGTAATTAGGAAGATTGGATTCTAACTACAGTGTATTTACTACCTCAAATAGAACATTGTATGTGGTCATGCTGATTAAAGTTGTCTGAAGCATCAGCCTTTCAGCCAGCAAAGAGAATAATCCATGTCCAAGCATGATTTCAGCATTTCTCCTACAGTAATATAGAAAGACAGATAAAAATACAAAAATGTACATCTATCACTTGCTAGGCATGTAAACTGTGTCTTTTTTTTTAAGAATTTCCATTTGGAGAGGTAGGAGGTAGACTCCTACATAGTCAAAGACCAACACACACAACCAATGGATGAGTAAAATTCCTGAAAGGTTTGGTGTCTCATCTTGAGACATGCACCTCTTTCCATACTTGCGTGACAGGTTCCTGTGAGCTCTCAGGTGCCCAAAGAGCTGGAGCTGAACCTTGGGGGTCCCTTGATAATGATACAAGAAAGGGTGCATCCATGCCCTTTCACCTTACTAGAACTAACTGACCATGTATGGTAGCTGTTAATTATGTTATTGATAACTGTAGCCAATTTTACCAGTAACCTGGCTGGTGGATATAAATGTCATTCTGCTTACAACTGAAGAACTTCATAATTTCCATAATCAACAAGAGATGGAAAATCCTAAACACTGTATCCACTTCCAAAATGTGAGCCCTAATTACAGACAGCTGTCTATAGGCTAACTGATGCCAGATGACTGAGTACATGTGCTTGCCAGTTTCAGTGTAAAAGAAGGGGGAAAGGGGAAAATAATTCTGGTAAAATATTAAGAATAAGCAAGAGTTAGCAAAACTTCACTCAGTGTAGATGCCTTAAAAAAAAAAATCACCTACTTCATTCACTCTCACTAAAAATTAGCAGGATCATCCAAACGACCATTTACAAAAAGTGTTTCTCTCTACTTCACAGGTTTATAATGAACAACTGACTGTTTGGGATCTCAACCAAGACAACCTCACCTTGTAAGAAAGGCCTTTACCTTGACTATGTACTAAATCATGTGATAGGTCAGAGGCATAACAGAAGTACTTGGTTGCAAATATTCAATTCTGGCCCATTTTAATAAGATAAAAACCACTTAGAAAACTTTAGCTTACACTGAGTCCAAGCTGAATAATACTGGCTATTAATATCACTATTCTAATTAGTACATTTACTTTCCATGTATGGTAGTTTACAGTAAAAATCTAAACCTATAAACAGGTATACCGAAGCATCAGCAAGCTGGACCAAGAAGCTTCTAGCAATTTATAAAGCTTCTAGCAATGACTTGACACAGGCTCCCGATACTGAGTTATTCCACTGTATCAGATATGGATTAGAAAGAAACCAATGTAATGACATTTATAAAAGGAAAATCTCTCCTTCTGTGTAGTTTCTATTCTAGCTGTGTGCCACCATAACACTAAACAGTAAATAAAGCAACACATTCTGAAACATGCTCATTTTCTTCAGTTCTATACCAATACTTACTTGGGAGCGAGATGTTTTAAGAAGTAGCCCAACACTTTTAAAGCTTGCACCCTGATTCCTTCACTTTTCGAAGCTAAAAGTTTGTAGACAACCCTAAATGAGAAAAAGGAAAAGCAATCACAAATTAGCTTGAAATAGTTGAAGGTAACTAAGTAATAGTTTCTAAAATTCAAAGTTAACTGAAGCATACGGCAAACAAAATTTCATCTTAAGTTAATAAACTTTGGAAAGATGACGTGGCATTATGAAGTATTTTACTAAGTCCAATTTTAAAAATTATACTTGGAAATTCTGAATTCTGTTAAAAAAGTCTTGACAATATAACTTTTTTAAAAATTACAGTTTTCTAAAAAGGTCACTAATTCCAGTACTCAGGTCTTCAGCTGATTTCACTCAGGAAAGCAAACAAATAATGTTTTTTCTGTCAAAGCAACTCTATAAAGAGCAGCTGCAAAAAAGCCTCAATTTGATACATGGATGGACATTTACTACCAGTATTAATATTTGACATTTTTGTCCCTGGCTAATCTTCTATGACAGCTTTCAGAAGAAGAGGAAGGGACCACATCAGCTGGCATTATTTTCATTTCACTCATATTGGTTTCTGCCCTTGAGATTATTAAATAGAAAAAGGTTAATGTAAAAACATATTGCAATCTTAGCAGAGCTGTCTTGTGTACAAAATTTTTCAGGCATACATACTCCCCTTATTTCTAGAGAACTGACAGCATTATTCCTGTCATTCAATCTTTCTTTAGTTTATGTTAGCACTTAACATAAGGAAATCCTATCAGGTTGGGAACATGCATTGTACCTTGCAATAATTTGCACAAAGTAAAAAGGCTGGTTGGCATTGAACCAATCACTATTTGTTAAAAACTGACAATTAAAAACAACAATATGATAACAGACTGACGGAAACCTTATGTCTATTGTTTCCAAGTATTACACAGGAACAGATATCCATATTTCAAATTGTTATTCAAAATTCTGACAGAATGGTGAATGTTATTTGTTTTCCTATCTCAGTTAGCACAGAACCACTGCCCTAGCATATTGCAAGAGGCCATGTATAGCATCCAGATAGGCTACAAACTGAGGAAATTGAACACTTTATTCCATTTTTAACTATGAAAAAAATTATTTTCTTCTTAAATTGAGAGAGTTGCACAGAAAAAAAATCATAAAACCATAAAATTACAGTTGCACTGTCCAGGCACCCTGTTTAAGAAATGCCAGCTGCAACCTGAATTCAGCCTACCAAAATAAGTACATTAGGATATATGCTTTCACCATATTATTTAATTCTTTTTCTACACTGGACTCTGACTTAATTCAGTATCAGTGTATGTTACTCACTTATTCAGTATCAGTGTATCGGTCTGAACACAAAAAGTGCTGTTTCTCATCTTGGTAATGTAGGTCTGGTCCATCCCTTACATACTGCACCATCCAAGCAGTGTGCTGGTGACAGATCTATACACTGGCTTTTCCATTGTCCTCATTACTGTAGTAGTTTTATGCATCATACAAATTACTGAAGTTAATTTTCACAGCATCTCTGTGGCCCATGGTCTTTATTTCCCCATTCTGCAGACAAGGGACTAAGAGCAGTGACTCGACAAGGCCTAGTGTCCTCATACGTGCTCTATTTCATACACCTACATCCTTAGTTTTGAGCAAGTGATTAGCTCTTCATATGGTCAAAGAACAGCTCTTATTTATATGTAACTGCAAATACTCCAACTTCCTGCCAGTCAAGCCAGATGTTCCTCAAACTAGGGATATACAAAAGTGAGAAACACACAACCAGTGACAATCTCCAACAAGTCTGGTCTAGGTGACTTGCCTAGCATCAGAGGGATTCTGATAGAACCAGAGAATCCAATTCTCCAAGCACCACTCTAATGCCATCAAGATAAGACCATCCTTTTCCTCCCTGCAACCACCCAGCTCATCCACTAGACATTTTCTAACTTCTGCAGGAATGCTACAGTCAACAACATCCTCTGCTACACAAATTTGGTATCTTAAAGCATATGCACAAGACAGCCGAATTAAGCTTGCATAGGTAACCTCGGTCCTGGCATGCCCTAACTTCCAAGAGCTTGACTCTACAATATATCATATTGGTCCATACTAACCACTATGCAGGTTATTAATACGATTAAAAGCTTGAGAGCCACAATACAGATCTCTACCACTTCAACTAATGGAGCAACTGGCAGAAGTTATAAATTAAAATTTTATCTCAAGGAGTGTATTTTGTCCTCAACTGCATCAGTTTAGGAAATACTTGGGAGATACTTCACTATGCAATCCTACAGGTAAGGAATCGGACTATATTGTTTCTCCCATCTTTTAAATATTGCTTGGAATATTTCAGCCACATTTACATCATTACTAAGCTTCTTAATACTCATAACAAGTTCAAATATAATTTTATTAATCTCTGTTTCATCTTTTATTAACAAGGTTTTATTTGATTAGTGAAAGGTCCAAGCACTGGCCTAATTGCATTACTACAAGAAATACTGATGACAATATATTACTTAATAATGTATATTCTAAAGCCTTAATAATGATGTAAAACATGCAATGGAGCTCAGCTTTTACTAACTACTTTTATTATCACTACCATGAGGCTGCTGCTTTATCTAAGTGAGCAGTGTCATCATCAACATCCTTGTCATGTACATTCGACCCATTTAATTCTGGCTTGGTTTGGTATTCCGTATTGAACAGGCTCCTTGAATTTATGCCAATCCTACCTAAATGAGCTAAGCTCTTACATTTTTTAATGATCATTTATTTCCTTAATGTTCCATGAAATTATATTAATTACAAGGGTATAAATAGAGTCTCACACAGTGTGTACAAGTAATGATGTGCCCTTTGTTAAGAAAAGTTTTCCTGCAAAGCTTTTGAAAATCAGTTTTAAAATATTCAGAAGCATTTCCACTCATTTAAAAAAAAGGTCATGTTTTTCGCCTTCTTAAGTTAACATAAAATTGATAATTATGACCTGGTTCTTGATATATTGAAGGACAGAAAATAAGGACATACGTTTTAACTACCCAAGCCTTAACTTTCATTCCATGTCAAATGCCTTGGCTGCAGTGGCCCCCAAATCCACAATCCACCCACCCAAGATGGGAAAATAATCCCCTCTTCTCCTCTGACATTAAATGGCTTTATCCTGGGTTAAATGGCAGGAAGAGCACTTGTAGAACGAAACCAGTGAGCAACAAAAGTTTAACTAAGCACAGAAGGTGAGGGGAAATATATCACTGTCTACTTTACTCCATGTTCTGGCAGATCAAAATTTACAAATTTATCCTGTATCACAGGAAATATTCAGCTTCCATGTAATCAGGTATTTTAGCTGGTATATGTATTTTCTTATTTTATTTCTTGTAATGAAAGGAAATTTAAGGGGAAAAAACACCCAAATACCTGTAAGCCTTTGTCCAAAAACATACATTTTTATTTTAAACTTGGAGAGAAAAAATATTTTGACTACATTTTCTAAAAATTCTTTTAGAAAAATTTCATTAAACACATAACCAAGCTGTTAAGTAACTGGAGACAGCACAGGAATATAACAAATGAGACAGGAAAACAAAGCAGTATCTCACTGTAGACTTGTTATTCATACTGATTTGCCCATATGCTAGTTTTAAAAAAAGGAAAATGTCTATTGCCAGTTGTTAAGTAAAAACAAATGTATTACACCAGAGAGACTCAACATGACACTCAAATACTTCACTATTTAGGAGTTTATTAGTTTCCAATTGCATAACACATTACCATACAAATGAAGCCAAAGCTGAGGAAAACAGGTAACAAACTAGCAGTAAAAATGGGGGAGGAAATAATTATAGACATGACTGGACATCTCCTGAGGAAAGGAAACTGTAAAAATTCTGTAATCGGGGGTTAACCAGTAGGTGTGACAAAATGTATGAGCTGAGAACATGCCTTTATATAACAAGCCAATTATTGCTCCAGGTACCCTTCTAGGAATAGGTCTTATTCATGTCTGTATGCTCACACTCTCTCAGTGATATTCACAAGAGATTCATTTTAAATTAGAAAAGTTAAAAAGTGTAGCCATCCACTAAGAGGCACAAAGTGAAATCAAAACTGTAATTTAATGTTTTTCCTAAAAAAAAATCTCTTCTCTCTTTTACTAGAACATTACAGCCCCTTTCCCAAACTACTCCTATTCACTCATAATGGCATGAAATTATACTTCTCAACACACTGGGAATGGTCCGCATGTAGACCCACAGCTTGTAAACAGTGTGTTGTACACCATAAGGTGAGAAATAAAATTTCAAAAAAGCTTCTCAGTAAAATCCCACAAATGCCATACCTACAGGACTGGCGGGGGGTGGGGAGGGAGAGCAGAGGAGGAAGGGTTAACATGGCCATGTATAGACATTCAGTTTCTCTTGGGCCAGTGGGACAGTCACTGCTCTCCCAGGAAAAACTTTAAGTGTACAGATATTCAGGATATTTTTTTGCCCAGAGCAATAATGGCCACTACAGGAGAAACCAAGGAACAACCGAGATTAAATTACTCCAAGCAGAGTTTTCTCCTGGGAAAGA